CGTACGCACCAAGAATACATTTGGACTTCACTGTAGCCTGGGTATGTGGTGGTCTGGGCTGTGTACAAGGTTATATTTGAAAACACATTTTTAGAGGGGGGGCATATAATTCAATTTGAAAATGAAATAATTTCCTGCTCCCTTGGGGTTTGTTTACTGGCAACACTATGTCTTATGTGACATTGGAAGGAACTGAAACCTTCCACAGCCAGATGCCACAGAATGTAAGTTGAATTTTGTGAACATATGAACTTACATTAATTTATTCATCTGAACTTCTGTCTGTAATCACAAAGGAGGACAGCCTAATCTAGACACTATACTGACTAATGGGGGTACACCGTGAACTATAGTGATTCCTCATTTCTGAAAATATGATAAGAAAGAGCAAGTGATAGCGACTCTGTGTGAAGAATGTAATTTTCAACATTAAATAATAGTTCCATTAGCTCAGTAGTGGTCCATGGGCATATACGCGTCTATGTGCTCTTATACGTGTTCTGATACAGCTCAAAATTATTCTAAAGCTATTCAGGTTTCAGCTATTTTTGGTTTCGATACTTGTTGAAAAGAGTATCTAGTTTTGACATTTTTGACCACCCTTCTCTTGTTTATTATCATGTCATTATCAAACTATGTAATATGAATAAATTAACTAAAACAAACTAAACTAAGAATCTCAACCAACTCACAGCCAAAAAAGAACTACACCAGGAACTAAACCATCTCTCCTCCCAGCGTCTTTTACCTTTTGTTCACTAGAGACTGGCAATTCTAAGGCTGAGATTATCCACATGATTCTAGTGAAGGTTTATGGAATTTAAAAACACAGTGGAGCACTTTCTGTACTACATGACCTTACAAGGTGTAGGTAGAGTCCTGCACCGGGTGTACCCGCGGGTTCCTGACAGGTATGGGCAAATAGTTGCAGAAACGGGAGGGTTTTAATGTTCTGGAATTTTATGGGCGGGTATGCGGTGGGTAATGATTACACACGGGCGGGTCAAGACTAAACCAGGACTAAACCAAGATTAAACCAAGACTAAACCAAGACTAATCTTGGACTTAAGAGAGAGAACCTCAAGCTCGCGGAGGAGGGTGCCTACAAAGCGCAATCGGGTGACGGCTGCGCTTACCTCCGTGGAGTTCCGCGCGGTCCTTTCACCTGCGGTCACTCAATGGTCTACAGGGGTGCACCTCCGAGCCCATCCCGACAGTGAGTTCTGGTTTAGTTTAGGTTTAGTCCTGGTTTAATACTGTTTTTGTCCTAGTTCAGTCCTGGAATCAGTCCTGGATTAGTCCTGGTTTATTCCGTGGCGTGTGCGGCACAAAAGTCCGACATCAATGATCAGTGTTTCTTCTGGTCAGTAAATAATGCCTGTGAAGTGATGACAGTTGAGTCACGTCTGTTCGTATTCGTACTGAAGAAAGCATAACCGTTTCATTTAATTTGTGATTGTAATTCCTGAAGTTGTAACTTTTCAATTCGTATTCTGATAGATGCTTTAGTTAGAATGCTTTTAATATGTGTGTGATTTATCCGGGCGGGTGTGGTGCTGTACTGCACGGGTGCGCGCGAGTGTGGGTCTCAAAAAATGGACCCGTGCAGAACTCTGGGTGGAGGTCATGGTGGAGATATGCATTTGATGAGGAAACAGCATTCTAACATAGATCAGAAAATATAGGCTTTAAGAATTTCATTTTTGTCACATTAGTTTGCCAATTTTTGCTAAATTGCCCTTGTCAAACCCTACGTGAATGAGATTACAGACATCAGATTTAACAACTCTCATCTGATAAATGAAATCAGATAATGATCCGATTTTTGGTGTAAACATAGCCAGCATCTGTATTGTTTGTACAGTGAAGTCTTGGTTTCTTCAGTGCCTATGTCCCTTGTGTCCTTCACATCTGACAAATGCATCGAGGCGCAGCCCTCCTCTCCACAGATCTATCAGCTGTCTACAGTGAGGGCCAGGCCTGGGCAATAAGCAGGGAGGAGATTCATTATAAAGCGCCCTGAAATATTGATACGAGTTTCAACATTGATGGTATTACACAAGCCCTATGAGCCAAGAGGAAACCTAATATCGAGTGAAACATCCAAACCAAAATGACGGGGAAAGTTGCAGGGTTACATCAGCAGGAATCAGCTTGGGCTATTTTATTTCCTTTTCCCGCCCTAATCTTGGTATTTTTGATAAAGTTTCACATTTCAGGCTCTTATCTACAATTAAAATTTTACAAGGGACAGTCAATAAATGATCACAAGTGGGATACAATTTCCGAATAGTTTTCAATATATAATAGTTCTGTCTCAATTTGGGTTTTTGACAGATTGGCAAAAAATAACAACCCAACTCAAATCAGTTTACTCTGAAGCAGACCCATAATGAAGACTTTTGAGAGCTTTTAACCATGTGACAGTTGTTTCCCCTTCTCATTTACCCTGTCAAAGCTGTATCTGGAGTGATTTGTGCACTTTTAAGCAATCTTTAATCACTTATTTTCAAGACACCATATTGCTGATCAATCCCCATTTTCACCATCACTGGCATACACCCACTTTTCTGCACTAGCTTTGTTCTCCAGTTTTATTTTCTTAATCTGTGACATGCACGGGATTCGGCAGAGTGGCGTAGTCATTTTGGTACAAATGAAAATAAATTCCCTGTGATTTAAAATGTCTAAATTCAAACATAATGATCCACGGGTGTCATAGATTAGCTATATAGCAGAAACAAGCACAATAGGTCTTCTTTAACAGCTCAAACTGAATACAGCTTTGAAATGTGTGAATATTTATCTTCTGTATTTTTAATAACAGTTGATTTAGACAGTTTATCAGACTTTCATTTTGTCTTCCATAATGTCACATTTATATAACAGCAAATTAATAATTTTACTGCCATTTTGTAAAAAAAAGTATGTATAATATTAAACCACTGCAAAATACTGTGCCATAGTTTGGTTTACGTACTTCTTTATAAAGCACCTCAGTTTGTAAAGACTGTTTTGAAGTAATGTACAAAATCCGACTAAATGGTGTGCTCACACTTGGCCTGGTCTGGTCCTGGTTCGTTTATATGATGAGGGTCTAAACAGAAGGTGCAAAAGTGGCATCGCGTATGCACTTTTTATTCCACGTTTTTGGGAGGAAATCTGCGTGCATACGGTGACGCAAAAGTGTGTGGAATTTGATTGGGTATACATGCCATCCGACATGTTTGTTTCTCTGTACTCTATGTATGTGGCGTAAATGCGTACGTGACGTGAGCAGATCTAACCAGAGTTTTGTGGCCACGATATGATATGTTTTCGAAACACTTTCGATTCAGTACGATTCGATATGATAGATTTCAAAATTGTTTCGATATAGTTCTGTGAAGAACAAAGACTAAATCATGGTTGTGACACTAAAAGTTTACTAAGTCTACTAAGTTTGTGAAAAGTTAATATGAAAACACACATTTTACACAAAACTGTGAAAATATCAACACAATTGTAGCTCTTACACAAAATTATTTAGCAAAATATATCTACAAATGCTCTTGATATATCAATACAGCAGCCCACAATATCGATACTGTATCACCAAATTAAATGACACGATATATCAATATTTCAATATTTTTGCACACCTCTAGTCTTGGGTAGTGTAGACGGAAACGCTACAGCGGAGCGTATTCAACGTTTTCACTCTGGAGGGTGGTTTCAGACGTTTTCATTTATAAGCCCCAAAAAAGCTGTCACCATCTAAATGAAAGACACTTCCTGATAAAATACTTTGTTGTTTTTACCAGCAAGTGTTCTCATTTAAATGGGTCCCAAGTCCCAATTTTTAAGTGTGGGGACTAAATTTGTATACACACTCACATTATGGGGACCTGCTTTCCTATGGGAACAAAAATCAAGTCCCCAAATGCTTTCTTATCAAATCAACAACATAGTTCAAATGTCAGATTAAAATAGGTTAAACGTGCATTGTGTAACTTTGCTGATGAAGGGTCCGTCAAATGCTTTTCTCCATGGAGATGTAACTACTTTGTCTGGAATGCTTCACAGTATGGCATTAAACCTTTTTATCTTCATACAGACTACACCAGACCAAGTTACAGATCAGATCTGTGGAGAGGCAAGCTCACTCAAAATCAGAATGCCTGTTTTTCTAGGTATTTTTAAGCTATACAACCACCTGTAATTGAATAAATGTAAGGTAGAGCTGTTTAATGTCATACTGTGGAACATTCCAGGCAGAGCAGTGACATGTCTGGAAACATAAGTGACGGACCTTCAACCAAAAAGTTACATAGTGTGCCTTTAAGGTTTCTTTTTCAGTTAGGCAGTTAGTAACTGTAGCTTAGGTTAGGATCAGTCTCCAGGAAATTAATGAAGTCAAAGCAACATACCCAAAAAGCATATTAACCCAACATCTGTTTGACTTTGTGTGACCAAGCTATTGAGTTCATTTCAGTTCAATTTACAACTCTGAATAGTTCTTTGCCAGCTTTTCCTAATCTCTTTTCAAACCAGTGTTAATACTTACGATACTTACACTATTTTATTTCCATTACAATTAAATATGCAAATGTTCTTTAGCATTAAAACATTCGGAGACATTAAATCCCCGGAAAGCTGCTTGGAGCCATTTCACAAACTCACATTGGAAAGGAGGCGACCCCATTCATTCTGGTCAAGGTAATTTGCTGGATATCTCTATAGCTTTACAGGCCCTGATGAGAGACTTTAAAGTGAACCATCGCCACTGCCCACAGACATTTAAACCAATCGAGTAGAGAGCGGCCAATTCAGACTCCTCGTATGAAAAATCTCTTCTTTTCAAGCTGGGTATGTTTTATTAATTCACAGTGCAACATCCAATGGGACTTCTTTCACAGTACTGGCTGCGAGCAGTTGAAGCGGCAGTGGCTACAGAATAGACAATCTTTGGACTAATGCATTGTGTAGAAAATGCGAATCGTGCGGCGTGACAAGCTTACCTCCACAGTGAGCTCTCGGTCACGCTGTTGAGGTTGAAGTCGAATAATTTGGTCAGCATCAGAATCACCTGCGAAACCAGATAAACATTTCAGTCAATACCCAGTGTTTGAATACAGCTCAAAAGAGTTCAGTGTTTTGATTCTGTACACCACTGACATGGACAGCAGCAAAAGGGACAGAATTCAAAGAGAAGCAACAAACTGCGCTGTTTCAATGAGCGAATTTGTGTCAGTTAGTGTGGATGTTCCCAAATCTTTGTTGTGTTATTTCCTGGCAGTGGTACAAGATTGATTTTCTATGTTTAACTAGCCTGTTTAAATGTGCACTGTGTAACTTTTCAGGTTTGGGATCTGCTACCATAGACATGCTATTGCTGTGTCTGTAATATTTCACAGTATGGTATTAAACTTATAGTATATAAGATGCATTTATTAAATTACGGGTGTTTTTATTGCTCAGAAATACCTTTAAAAACATGCATTATTATTGTAAGTGAGGGTGCCGCTTCACAGATCTCACTTGTAAATTGGCCTGGTGGCGTCTCCTTCTAATTTCTACGGAGATTGAAAAGTTTAATACCATACTTTGGAATATTGGAGGTAAAGCAATAGCATCTCCATGGTAACAAGTAACTGGCAGGCCCTCGACCAGAAAAGTTACACAATGCACCTTTAAGCATGTGTATTTTTTGCATTTATTCATGTTCTTATTACTGTAAGTCAGACATGTCAAACTCAGGCCCGGGGGCCAAATTTGGCCCGCGATACAATTATATTTGGCCCGCGAGATCATATCAGATATGTATTAAAGCTGGCCCACTGGCTACAGATAGACTATAGAGACATTAAAATGTTATTATTTTATGTTATACTTGTTCCGGATTCAATGTTTAATCAAAACTATTCAAAACTGTTTATTAAAGAAGAGAAAACATGCAGATGTTGTTGAAATGTTTAAATAAATATTTAGTTTGGTCCATGACTTAGTCCCAATTTTTAATTTTGGTCCTCTGTGAATTTGAGTTTGACACCCCTGCTGTAAGTTGACTTGTTACCATGTAGATAAAAATGTGTAACAAAGCAATAACATCTCCATGGAAACAGAGAATTGGGTGGCACCTCTACCTAAGAAAGTTACACAGTACTCCTTTAAAAACAATGAACATTAAAGGTGAAATTAATTATCTTTTTTTTATCTATACACTTAACTATAATTAAATGTAAACTACAGACAAGGCTAGTTTATATGGGATTCTCTTTACACAGTTACATAAAGAACTAAAAAATATATATAAATATATATCTGTAAAGAATTTCCAACAGCCTGTTTGTTGATGTTCAGTTAAAAGCTTTATCCTCATCCAGCACACTGTTACATTCAAGGAGCTAATGTAGTTTGCATCATCTCCAGCCTCCACTATACTTCACCATTTGATCTTTTAATCTACAGAAATACTGTAAATAAACAAACATGTAGTATATGTCTAGATAAGATGAAATGAAACTTATGATCAAAACCCTTTCTGTTGCTTGAGAATAACCAAAAAGCACACTAGTCCCTAAACACCGACTGCAGAAAACAAAAGAAATGCGATATGTATGTAGATTGAAGTTTCATGAGTCTGTGTGAATCCTATTTTTTTTTTTCCATAATAAAAACAAGATCTTTGTTTGAATACACTAATCAGTCCGATGTCTCCTGTATTAATGGTTCATCAATGCCATTTTTACTGTATATCAGTAGTTTGTTGGTAGTTTCAGTGCAAATAACAGCGGTAGAAAGAGACTAAGTACAAATACTCACATTACTGTAATTGCGTACATGATTGGGTTAATTGTATTTTTAGAAGATATACATGTAACTGAGTAAAACTGTAGTCATATAATTGTAATTAGCAACATTTAAAACCATAGCAGGAACTGAGTGTAGCCCCAATTGTCCCACTACATGGTTGTCTCTGATTCTTTCTTTTGATACTTTGCAGTGACATCATGCTGGGGGTCTTCTATATGTTTGCCTATGTGTATAAGAAGGTTCCAGCTGTGGCCTGGGCGTTTCAGTCATGATACAAGAGCATTCATTGGGCGTTCCTGGTAGCAGAATTTCACAAGGGATACTGGGTATAACTAGCCTGATTCATCAGCCGGTTTGACTTTATAGAAACCGTTTGACTTCGCTTTACAATTTGTTTGCTCGACAGTAGGCGGGTACTTATTTTCATTTAACCAATTGCTGCTATTTGGTCATGATGTATGTACTGTGCAGCTAATGGGGCTAACTGGTATATTTAAGCCTTTCCCAAATCCCGTAGGAAGAAGGGCAATAATTCCTAAATATTCTCTTTGTTCCGGTTTTAAATCCTTGAACTCGGGAATTGTTGCCAACACACACATATATGTATATATAGGGCTCTTCGCTGATTGGCTGGTGCCCTAATTCGCACTTTTGGGTTTTGTGTGAACCGTCTAGTACAGACATGTCAAACTCAGGTCTGGGGGCCATATTTGGCCTACGAGATCATATCAAATATGTATTAGAGCTGACCTGCTGGCTACAGATAGGCTATAAAGACAATTTAATTAAAGTGTTGTTATTATTTTATATTATGGTTGTTCTGGATTCAGTGTTTAAGCAAAACTATTATTAAGTATTTATTTTAATAAGAAAAGGTCTAACACTACATATTGCGAAAGAAATGAAAACTTGCAGTTTGTTCTTGAAATTTTTCAATAAATATTTAGTTTGGCCCACAACTTCGTCCCAGTGTTTAATTGTGGCACGGTGAATTTGAGTTTGACACCTCTGGTCTAGTGTATTCCGATTCCTGACCTAGTAGCTGGAGACAAATTAAATTGAACGGAGGTATTAGGTGACACCAGCCTGGCTAGGGTATAATGTCATTTGCCCGGGAATTTTTCGTATGGCACTGGAGCAGCTTTGTCTCCAATGAAAGACCATGTGTCAGTAAGTTGGTTATTTATTTCAACAACATTAATTGAGAAGTGTTCTGATGTTGGCTGTATCACTGAGATAGACGCTGTTTCCTCTTAATTGTATCCAAATCTGATATTAACATTAGCAACACGCATTTGGTAATAGCGAATCTCATGTTATTTCGTATATTAACAGCTAGCCAGAAGAAAGCCACATGTTATACTGTTTGTAGTAATTATTTTACGATGTAGCCAGTATTACTGCTTACTTGGTGGATGTGATGCTTAGTTTTGGTGGTAAACAGTATAACACGTAGCTTTCTTCTGGGTAGCTGTTAATATAAGAGACAATATGAGATTAGCTACTACTGAATGCTTGTCGTCGCTAATGTTAGTATTGGATTCGGATACAATTAGGATACAATTAAGACTAAACAGCAGCTATATATATAGAAATGATCGTGTTGTAGCCTAAATACATACGTCTATGGTTGTAACCATAGCTCTCCTTCCTCCCGCACTCACTATTCTTGTCTCTTTCCCCTCCTCTTTCTCTCTCTAGACTGTATAAAGACGTATTAGACTAAACCTTCTAGAGCCGCTCGACAGTGAGGATGTTTACTCGACAGTTGTGTTACCAAGCTAGTTTGATGCTAGTCCAAGTCTGCCTGTGCAAGCTCCTAAACGTAAATCAAGTGGACTGAGATCTAATTGGACACACGTTATGTATTTGGCTTAGTTTGCTAACGTTTACTCTATGACTAGATGTTATTTTGGAACTTCTCTTTCTAGAGACCTAACTATCGAAAGCTGTTAATCCGGATGTTGATGTTGACAGTGACGAGGAACAGAGCCCCCATCCACACGGGAACGCCCATAGCACGAGAACACCCATTTGTGTCCTCAGCAGGATGATTTTGATGTGTATTGGGAGAATGTTCACCAGTTACCAAGTATCAGTACCTACAAATGCACGTGACATTACTACATAGCCTATGCCAAGCAGGGCTGGCTATCATTAAGAGGTTGCTGATACGATACATACCTTGATACATAAGCCACAATACGATACATATCTTGATACAGCGCACTTTCAATTCGATACGATATATATTTCAAATCAATTCAACATAGTTCAATAAAAGTAATGGCTAAATCATGGCTGTGACACTTAAAGTCTTTCTTAAACCATTTCTTGTGCCAAGTCATAATGAAACACACCCATTTTACTCCTTAAAACTGTGAAAATGTCAAATGTGTTGCATAAATGAGTTTCCTTCCACTAAACAAGCAACAAAACTGTAGCACTGTAACAAAATAATTTAGTAAAATACACCAAAAAACACTCTTGGTGATACAGTCTTCCATCACTATAATGCGGTTCACCTTTTGCGACCTCGCTGTTTTGCTGATTTTTTTAGTGCAATTTTGCATTCTTTTTTTTTTTTTTTTTTTTTTTTTTTTTAGAGCTTATGAACATGTATTGTGTTCCTCCCCCTGCGTCCTGATTGGCTAAAGGACTGTAGACCGTTATTAATCAATCTCCTGTGTCTCCTGTACAATACAGAATGTGTTCAGCTGCTAAGTTTACATAAATGTTCGATCTCTAGCAGTGTGATTCTGAAGTGCTGTATGTTTGCAAGTTTTCTCGTGTTTTTTCTAAACTTTCTACAGTGACAAAGGCTCCTGCGGTCAGACCCAAAACACAGAGGAAGATGCAAACCATCACACAAAAAGTTGGACTTTTGGATACGCTGAAGGAAGGTAGAAGTTACACAACTGTAGGCTCCATTACGGAATAAATTAATCTTCGGTTCATTACATAAAGAAGGAGGAAAATAACACAAGGACCACAGCAGCAATATGTTTTAAGAAGAATGCAAAAAAGGTTGTAACTGTCCTGTCTGAGAAAAGTGTATAAAGTGTGTAGTGAGGATTTTTACAGCCTTAAATCATTTATCATAATAAAGCTGACTACTTCGCAGATTTCACCTATTGCAGGTTATTTTTAGAACGTAACACCCACGATAAAAGAGGGATCACTGTATATCAATACAGCAGCCCATGATATCAATATCAATATTTTTGCACACCCCTAATGCCAAGGGTCTCCAACCTTTTTCTTCTTGTGAGT